TCCGACCCGGTGCGGCGTCCGCGTCCGCGCGCCTCCCGGCCGGGCCCAGGCTTCGGGCGCGGTCAGCCCCCTGCCCAGGTGTGCGGACCGGAGCCGAACTCCGTCCCGGAGGCCCCAGAGCCCGGAGGGAGGAGCGCCTGCTGGAGTTAAGTTCCCCGGGAGTTGGGCGCGGGGCGCTCCGGTGCCCGAAGCGGGGCCGGCGCCCTGGGTCTGGCCCTGCCGAGCCGTGAACGCCGCGTCGCCGGACAGTGGGGGAGCACCGCGCTTGCAGCGCCTGCCCCGCCTAGGTTGGCTCCTAACGCGGGGTGACCCGAGCGGTGCCCCTGTGGGCCGTGCATCTGTGCGGGTGTGCAGGTATCTCACCGAGGACGCCGCCGGCCCGCAGGCAGGTGTGTTCCTCGCGGGGAGAACTTTCGTCCGGTTCCCAGCCCGATGGGGAGCCCAGGCGGCTGTGTGTGTGTGTGTGTTTACCTCGGTGAGCAGAGTGAGCGCTCAACAGCTGGACACGCATTTGGACAGTTCCAGGTGTCCACTGTAGCTATAGCGGTGGGGAGTAGGATCTCCCTGTAATTTTCGGTATTCCTTTCCACGCTTTAGACAGGAGCTTAAAAACCAGGAAACTAAATTAGGTGATTTATGTTGTGTTGTGTATTTTCCCAACCAAACTGTGGTAGCGTTTCTTGTAAAATGGTAAGTGAAGATATTAAGGTTTATGCAGAATGTGAGGAGGATCGGCCATATTTACGTATGATCCTCCAACTTGTAATTTCTTAAAACATCTTCCGGGTTTTCTTATTTTGTCCGTTGTTTCTTCTGGCAGTTAAATGTTAACGGCTCCTTTTCCAGGTCAACTGATGGCATCTTACTTTCCCCACTACTTGTATGTTTAAGGAACAAGATTTAGAAAAAAAATCATTATATGGTAGAGATTTGTGAGTTAGTTTATTTATTTTTGGTGTTGGGGATGGAGTCAGGGCTTTCTGCGTGGTAAGTGCTCAACCTCCGCTGAGCTACACCCCTGGCCTCTTCGGTGGGATTGGTCTCCCTGTGTATGTAGTTCAGGCTGGCCTAGAGCTCACTATATAGTCTAGGCTAGCCTCCACCTCGAGGCCATCCTCTTGTCTCAGCCTCCCGGACTAGGATTACAGGTGTGCACCACCATGCCCAGCGTAAATATTTTTATTTGTAAGCATTGGTTTAAGATTTTGTGATGTAAAGACCAGGTGTTATGTCTTCTGTCTTGGAGAAGAAACTGTAGTTAATACATGTCAAGTACAGATGACTGCTCAAGTGAGTCTAACTGTATTTCTGATCACTTATGAAAGCAGGTTGTCTTACACACCCTGTCTCTAAGGTGCAGTGTAGGCTGGATACAGTACTAGGAGCGGCTCTGGATTTAGGGACTTCAGAGAGCATCTCACCCAATATTGTTCTCAACAAAGTTGTTCTTACAACATCTGGTTCAGTGGTGGTGAGCCTGTGGTACACCTGTTGTTTGTTTTCTTTTAAGACAAAAAATGTTATTGTAGGAGTTGTTTTTTCTGAACTAAAACCTCAGTATTCAGGTTTTTTTTTCTTTTTTTGGTACTGGGAATTGAACTCAGGACCTCACACTTGCGAGGCAGGTTCTGCACTGCTGCACTTTATCTCTGGCCCAGTGTTCAGGTCTAATTGCAATGTTCTTACTTGGTGATAAATAAGTGGTTTGGGGTTGCAGTTTGGGTGTTTGTCCCTGAAAGGTTCACTATTGACCTTTGTCTGTTAGTTCAGCAGATGTCTGTGCATACCAGCCACACACACTGTTCTGTGCCAGACTTCATGGATCATAAAGGTGAGAGGGATTGCATCCTTGTCCTCAAAGAGGACACCTTGGTTCCGGTTCTGATGGGTAGTTCATTTCAGGAGGCTGATGAGTGCCAAGGACCAGGAGAACAGGATAAATTGTTTTGGCTGGAATGGGTGACAAGTCGCCTGTCCATCAACCTGACAAGTTCTAGCTTGTGTGTGAAGTATCAGACAGAGGCGAGTACCCGGGCTGGAGTTTTGCTTCAAGATTTGTTGTGTATCAAATATGATGAATTTCAAAGCAGTCAGCCAGCAAGGTTTGATTCTGTAGTGTGAACACCAAGAGATGGATCATTCTCCCTTTGTAAAAAACATTCAATGATAAGTTTAGACTGGTTTGAGGCAATAGTTTTTATATTCTTAAGGTCTGAAGTCTGTTTGGTCTGAAGTCTGTCATTGAGCAAGTTCAGTATATGCAACATCCACTCTATGCCTGGAACCAGAGAGTGCGTTCCAGGCGTTATGTCCAGGTTCCTCTTCTGGAGGATGTGCGGTTTGTATGTTTTAAAATGTGGACTGTAGAGGTAGGCCTTTCCTCCAGTTACATCATTCAGTAGCATCTATTAAAGCAGTTGTACTACCCTTTGCCTTGTATGTAATCCTGGTAATGTAGCTTAATATTGGAATTGCCTTTTTGGGACTTCATGTTGGCTCAAGGTGAGTTTGTAATCAACTAAAATCACAGTCAAATCTTTATTACTTGGGATACTCTCAAGTCATGTGCCACAGTCCTTTGCATAACTAACCAGTGTTTTGAATTGAAGAATGGGTCATTTCTACCAGTTAAGCATACTTTTACAAGCTCTGTCTCAACATTTTAGCCCTGGACTTCTAAGTACTTTTTAAGTACATTTATTTCCTTCTCTGTTAAAGCCTTTACTTTGCAGCCTCAGATGTTTCTACTAAGTATTCACTTCCTCCTTTTAAAAAAACTAATTGGTTACTTTGAAAACTTTTCATTATGACAAGTTTGCAGTACATAATGATTATGTACATTAATTGTAGGGAATTGGTGTGTGTGCATAGCACATCTCGATTCTTTTTTCCCCTTCCCTCCATCCCCCCTTTTGTGCCAACATCAAATTAATTTATCCTATAAATAATTATAACATTAGTTATCATATGTACAGATGAACAAGAAGACTAATAGGCCAAAAGTGGGTATAACACGTAAGACAGTTATACTAAATCAAGGTATGCTTTTAGGTACGTGGCCCTTGCTGGATAACAATAGCTCTTTCTCTCCTTTTTCCCATTATCTATCTTTTATTTCATATTTTATTTACATACTGAGTTTTTCATTTAAGAGAAAACATGGGATACTTAAGTTGTGTGTCTGATTGACTTGACTTAACATTTATGGTTTTTTGTTTGTTTGTTTTGCTTTTTTTTCTGGTACTGGGAATCGAACTCATGACCTCGCACTTGCCAGGCAGGTGCTGTGCTGCTGAGCTAAACCCCCAGCCCTACTTAACATTTATGGTCTCAAAGTGCATGCAGTTTCCTACAAGTGACTCATGTTTACCCTTCTTTCTGACAGCCACCCTCCATTGTGCACAGACACCACATCTTCTCTACCTGTTCATCTGTTGGCGGACATGTAGGGTGTTTCCGAGATTTGGCTGTTGTGATCGTGCTGCTGTATCATGGCTATGCATATGTCACTGTGATATGGTGTCTTTAACTCTTTTGGGAAGATGCCTAGAAGGGGAATAGTGGGTAAAATGGAATTTCTAGTTTTATTTCTTTTGAGAAATCTTCATACTGATTTCCATAGTGGCTGTACCAGTCTACACTCCCACCAACAAGGGTTCCTTTTTCCTTACAGCCCCACCACCATTTTCTTTGTGATAGCCGTTCTTTCTGGAGTGAGGTAGAATCTCAGTGTTATTTTAATTTGCATTCCCTGAATGACCAGTGATGTTGCACAATTTTTTGTATATTTATTGGCTGTTTTTACTTTGTCTGAGATGTGTCTTTTCTTTTCAGATGTCCATTTTTGGATTGGGTCTGTAAATTTGGGGGACCTATTTTTTTGAGTTCTTTATATATTCTACATATTAGCCTTTTGTCTGAGGAATAGCTGGCAAAATTTTTTCCCCATGCTGTGGGTTGTCTCTTCACACTATTGGTGGGCTCCTTTGCTGTGCAGACGCTTTTTAATACAGTGACAGTCCAGTTGTTGATTCTTGGTGTTATTTCTTGTGTAACCGGGGTTCTGTTCAGAAAGTCTTTGCTTACACCTATGTCTTCAAGTGATTTTTCTTTCAGCAGCTTGTGTTTCTGATCTACTGTTTAAATCTTTGGTCCATTTTGATTTTAGTTTAGTGTGTGGTGAGAGATAGGAGGCTGGGTTCAACGTTTAGCATTTGGGGAGCCAGTTTTCCAAGCATCATTTATTAAAGAGGCTGTCTTTCCTCCAGCAAATGTGTTCGACTCCTTTGTCAAAGATAAGGTGGCTGACTGTGTCTTGAGTTGTTTCTGCATCCTCTGTTCTATTCCATTGATCCCTGAATCTGTTTTTTTGTTATTAATACTGTACCATGCTGTTTTTATCATGGCAGCTTTTTAGTATAACATGAGGTCCAGGATTGTGATGCCCCTTGCCTTGGCCTTGTTGTACAGAATTGGTTTTGCTATCCTAGGCTTCTTCTGATTCCATATGAATTTTAGGATTGCTTTCTCTAGTTCTATGAGGAATGCTACTGGTATTTTGATTGAGGTTGTGTTATATCTATGTAATAGTTTTGGTAGTGTGGCCATTTTGACTATATTGGATCTACCTATACAGGAAGAGGGGCTATCTTTCCATTTTCTGATGTCCTATTCATTCTCCTTTTTCAGAGTGCTATAATTTTTGTTGTAGACAGCTTTCACTTCCTTGGTTAGGTTAATTCCTAAGTATTTTATTTTTCTTGATGCTATTGTGAAAGGTACTGTTACCCTAATTTCCCTTTCAGTGAGTCTGTTGTTGGTGTACAGGAATGCTACTGATTTTTGAGCACTGACTTTGTATCCTGCTATGCTTCTGAATTTAGTTATTTGTTCTAGGAGTCTTCTGGTAGAGTTCTTGGGCCTTCTGTGTAGAGGATCGTGTCATCTGAAAATAGTGGTAATTTGACTTTTTCCTTTCCTATCCTTATTCCTTTTATTTCTTTCTCTTGTCTAGTTGCTCTGACTAATGTTTCCAGAACTGTATTGAGTAGGAATGGTAACAGTGGACATCCTTGTCTTATTACTGACTTTAGAGGGAAAACTGTCAGCTTCTCTCCATTTAATATGATGTTGGCCATTGGTTTGTCATGGAGGACTTTATGTCAGTCAGACATTATAACTTCTAATCAGGACTTCAGACAGAGTTAAGATGATGTTCCCTCACGGAGCTGATACACTTCTACTCAGAAGTGAAGGAGTCTGCGCTCGGTTAGTGAAGGTACAGTTTGTAAAAGGCGTATTGAAGTTTATGGATCTTTATTGTTATCCTGGCTGTCTGGTGAGAGCAGGTTGGAAATTGCATCCTGCCTGGCCTTTGGGGATGTCATTG